GTCAATGGGGGGGGAGGAGACATAGGTACTACTATCTATGATACTTTAAACAATAAAAAAATAAAAATAAATTTTAAAAAATGGGTGACACATTTACACAATGGAATACAATGCAACTGCAAAAAAGAAGGATCTCACCCTTTGAGATAGCATGGAGGAGCCTGGAGAGTATTATGCTAAGCAAAATAAGCCACTCGGAGAAAGACAATTATCACATGACCTCACTTATATGTGGAATCTAATGGACAAAATAAATCGACAAACAAAATAGATCCAGAGACATGGAAGCATGGAATGGATTGATGAATCTCAGAGGGAAGGGGGGAGGGTGGGTCAGGAAGAGATTAACCAAAGAACTTACATGTAGACATGCATAACCCATGGACACAGGCAATAGTGTGGTGAAGGCCTATGGGGATGGGAGTAGGATGGAGGGAGTCAATGGGTGGGGGAAAGGGGACATCTGTAATACTTTTAACAATAAAGATAAAAAAATTTTTAATTGGGAAGAGAGCCTGAATAGACACTTTTGCAAGGAATACATACAGATGGCCAACAGACATGTGAAAAGATGTTTAACATCACTAGTTGTAAGGAAAATTCACATCAAAACCACAATGGGATACCACCTCACACCCATTAGAATGGCTGTTATAAAAAAGACAAGAAATAAAAAGTGTCAGCAAGAATGTGGAAAGAGGAACCCTCAGACACTGCTGGTGAGAATGTAATTGGTGCAGCCTTTATGGCAAATAGTACAGAGGTTTCTCAAAAAATGTAGAATAGATTTCTTTTTTGATCATCTATTCTTTGCCAGGTATTGTGAGTGGCATCCTTTCCCCCAAACAGCCCCGTGGTTGTGGGTGATATGATCCCCTAATGGCAGGTAGAGGAGCCAGGCATCAAATCCAAGTCTGAATGTCTCTCCAACCCAATGCCTCTCCTCAGTCCCACCCTGCCCAGGGCCCTGGCAGAGGCAGAACGGGAAGTGAAGTGAAATCTGCCCCCAGGAGAGGAGACTGCAGTGTCGCAGAGAGCAACAGCCTCATTGCCCCAAATGTTTCCAACTGGTTCTTCTAAAGGTGCAGTGTTTGAGGATGAGGTAATTTTTTCATGGAATTCTCCTTATTAGTGATTTGGGTTTCAAGTTTGCAAGGGTTTGCTTTTTAACTGCCATAAAGTTAAGAGAGGCCATAAATAGAACAAGTTAAGTATGAAACCGATTCAATAATAATAATGTGATTAAAACCTACCTGCAGAAACCGAGGGAGAAGAAGGTTTGATTCAATGCCAACATAGATGTGCAACAACTCCAAGAGGGAGATGGATTGGCAAAGTTGCATCACAAGTCCAATAGCATAGAAAGTGTCAACCATCGAATCTGTGTCCGGGGAATTAAAAATACAGATATGGTCAAAATTAGAGCACAACACACATCTCTACGGCACTTTTAAATAAAATTGAGATTCTTTACAAATAGACTATTACATTATTAAGATTATGCAATTGAAGAAAGTGCTTCATATTATATTTTAATGGCTTCTCTTCCAAAAAGAAGTAAAACTTGAAAAAATTTGGCTCCATGGCCAAAGCTATAGCCTTTATTTCCCATGTATGAGATTAGAAAGCAACTCCCATATAAAAGTAACCAGCTACAGGAGACTACATCAAATGTAAACTGGTTGGAGGTGAGCTTATTAAAGCAGCAGCTGTGCTCACAGCTTTTCCATTGACAAGAAAATGAGAAAGGGAAAAATATGATTTCAGAGGAGCTTTATAGAAATGACATTAATGAGGGCATGATAGCAGATAACATCTATGTATATCCAGTATGTATGTCCTATACATACTTTATGTTCTCTGGAGAGAGAGTTAGAAACATCGATCAGCTGCCTCCTGCACACTCCCTACTGGGGATGTGCCCGCAACCAAGGTACATGCCCTTGTCTAGAATCGAACCTGGGACCCTTCAGTCCGCAGGCTGATGCTTTATCCACTGAGCCAACCCAGTTAGGGCAAGTTCTCTGGATTTTTGTTAGGTTTTTTTTTTATTACATTTATTTTGGTGACATTGGTTAAGAACATCAGGTTCAGGTGTACATCTTTCTAGTATGATACCGGCATACCCTGTAGTGTGTCCATCACTAAAGTCTAAGCTCCTTCCGTCACCATATATTTGGTCCCCTTTACCCTCTTCAACCTTCCCCTACCCGTGGTCGGCAAACTGCAGCTCATGAGCCACATTCGGCTCTTTGGCCCCTTGAGTGTGGCTCTTCCTAAGCCTTAGGAGTACCCTAATTGAGTTAATAACAATGTACCTACCTATATAGTTTAAGTTTAAAAAATTTGGCTCTCAAAAGAAATTTCAATCGTTGTACTGTTGATATTTGGCTCTGTTAACTAATGAGTTTGCTCTTCAACCTTCGTTAGTTTTAAGCACCAGAACTCGGACCTCTGGGGGCTCTGTTGACTAATGAGTTTGCCGACCACTGCTCTTCAACCTTCGTTAGTTTTAAGCACCGGAACTCGGACCTCTGGAGGGAACCTTTGGAGTATGCATTGCAGAGGGCCCACATGAAAAACCAATTTTGGAGAGGGCTGAAATGGGAGGGGAAAATGTTCCTCTAAGTAGGACAAATATGTTGGTTTAAATTTTAAAATGAAATCCTGCCATAGTAAGAAACTTCTACGGAAGATGCTGCTATCTTTACTGCCTAGTGATCATAAATTATCATCGAGCACAAAGGGTTTCTCATCTCAGCAGCTCTATGAGGTGGACACGGTTCATATCCTCCCCATTTCACAGGCGAGTTCTGAGGCCGAGACAGTCCTTCTCGTACCCACCAGCCTGCACTTGCCAGGATATGGCCTCGTCAATTACACAGTTCCACGGAGGAGGAAGGAAGCAGGTGGTGCTGGCTCGGGTGATTAGATTACTATAAGCTGCTTACTTGATTTATATGTTGATTCAAGAATTATACTGAACCCCCACTTAGTCGTTTTCAGTCTGTCTTCCATATGAATATGTTATGTTTCTTTAATAAGTAGCTTTTATAAATATAACGGTAGGATAAAAATTAAGAAATAGACTGCTGATGATAAATAGGCAGCATAAGAAAAAGTTCATTGCTTTCAGCTTGTGCTCTGAATGGCCTGTGAGATGCCCACAAAGCCACAGCCACAGCCAACTTCCAAGGCCTAGAAGTGATGGGTGTGTGTGTGTGTGTGTGTGTGTGTGTGTGTTTCTAAAAATAACAGGGAGTTTTCCCATTGCCTGTGCTTTCCTCTGCTTGAAGACCCCCAGCACTCAGTTGAAATTTGAGCCTTTGGAAGTTTTTAAGAAAGACAAGAAGGAGAACCAAGATGGAGGCATAGGGTGTAGACCTGTGCGTGCTGCCTCCCACAAGAAAGACAAGAATTTTTCTGCAGATTTGCAATAACAAAAAAAAGCAACATAAAATAGTTTATGGTACCTCAAAAGTTAATTAATTTCCTGATGATACAGCAGTTGGAATTGATGAGCACAGCATGACTTTTCCCAGATACAGTCTACATGTTTGTTTTTTTAGCTGAAATGAGCAGTTGCTCAACTTGTCAAGTCAACCAACAGTTGTAAACTGTGATGACACTTACCCATGTGGGGATGGAACATGAATGTTATTTTCATAGTCATTTTTTTTGAAAACTGAAATGCTATTTTTAAATCTTTACTTTTGAGGAAACTGAAGAAGCTTATGATTTAAACCATTAATGCCAACTCCCATATAAGTGATGAGTCACCTATAAGTGTGTCATTTTCTTAGGGACACACTAATCCTTAAGGGGAAAATAAAGACCTGAGGAATATAAAGCTTCTCTTTCGTTTATTAGTAGTTACCTTAAACCTGGGGAATAAAGACTAAGGGAAGAATTTGGTTAATTCCTGATTTCTCTACACAAACTGTTATAGGTACTGGTATTTACATATTTTCTCCAAACCCACCAAATCTGCTAAGGTTGGTGCAGAACCAAAAAGGAAGAGAGAGATGGCATCACCCCATCACCCCAATGCCAGGTCTAGATTTTCAGGGCAAACTGCCCACTCAGGGGGAAGCCAAATCCCTTTTCCTCATCTTACCCTCATCTCCAAAAAGGTTTTGCTTTATGTACTAAACAAGAAGTATGTTTTCTGAAAACTGTGGTCACTAAATTTAGAGGAGTAGAGGATTTTAGGTAAACCCATAGACCAAAAAATTAATATAAGTCTAGGCAAAAACAAGGATTAAAAGGTAAAAAATCAAAAAGTGTCTTAGAGTTTTACCTTTTCCAAACGAAAAGAATCTGACTGTCATATTTGTAAATATCCATGAGTGGCCACAGAACTGGATTAAGTAGTAGATGAAAAGATAGACATTCTTCCTGTACCTATAAATACAGAAAAATACCATTAAACACTTTCTTTATAATCATCCTTTCAACATAATACACATGACACTGAACTATCCTACTGACCAACCTGAGCAAACAAGAGAAAATTATTCCCTGTCAGTCTTTTATTTGGTTACCACTCTAATGCACACCAGATTTCGAAAGGGACCATAGCACACAGGATCCACTAATGAGTATCCCGAATTGCTTAAAGCAAAACATGGCTCTATTTCAAAATCCACCTCATCTTTGATAAAGTTCTAACCTGTTGCTCACCAAGGGATAACAGTAAGCATTGCAATGGCTGCCTTGAGTATTTGGGAGGTGGGGGAATCTGGGGAAGGGGTTGATGTGCTTGGTCAATATGAGTTGTAAGTGCAGAGATGACTGGTTTCCAGTTACAAAGGGGAGTAGTGGTGGCGGCATTCCCACATGGTGGGTAATTCGGTCACTGGGCACGCCTGACTTGGGTGCATTATGTGATTAGGGTCAGTATCTCTCCGCTGGCTCCTATGTGGCAAGAGCAGATGTTTCCTTCAGACACACATAGAAGGCAGTTTGGTGGCTGGGCCAGAAAAGGGAAGTCAAGCTGCGTTGCTGGAGAGACGACCCAGCGATGATTGGCAGATTAGCCCCTGAGGGCGTCCAGACAAGCGCTGTGTGAAGTGTTCCCGGGGGTTCCGAAGGGTAGTGGGAGTGGCCCTGTCCGCGGAGACAAGGTTTTCTTCTCGTTGGGGATGGGGGACCTCTGAAAAGTAAGGCAAGGGGGCTAGAAAGCAGATGCAGAGTAGCTTTGTGTGTTGCTGGGGCGCCCTGCAGCTGCTGACGGGGGGAGGGGGAGGGGGGGGGACG